TCAAATCAAATACAGGTTTATTCATGATTGTTGAACAGTACGGTAGCCTACATGCATTGGTACTTGAAAATATCACAAAACAAAATAATTTTTTAAAAATGTTAATATTTCTTTTAAAAAATAAGACTTTTGCCCAGTACAGTAGATAAGATATCAAAGTTTATGGAGAAAGGGATCATTAATTCCAAAAATAAATGTTTCACTGATTGAAAGCAAAAATAAAATCACGTATTTTTTCATAAAATTGTCTAAAGTGTTATTTTCGTTGTTTTCAGAAAGTTATTAATTATTATTATTGTTCGATTTATATAGCGCTTCATTACACGTGAAGTGTTTCTAAGCGCATATCACAAACATATACTTCAAACACACAGAAACAATCAAAATCAGGAGAACATAATTAAACACAGCTGCCTGTTAGGCGCTATTATTCAAAGGTTTGATATATACTTCAAACACACAGAAACAATCAAAATCATGAGAACATAATTAAACACAGCTGCCTGTTATTAGGCGTTATTATTCAAAGGTTTATATCAACAAATCAACCGGCTAATCTCTATATTGAACTCAGTCGAGGTATTACCTGATGAACACCTACACCAAGTAGAGTTCAAAAATAAAAACGAAGTTTAAAAGAATCAACTTCATTAACAAAAATTAAACAATCAAAAACTAAACAGATAAATCAAATTCAAATGAAACAAAGAAAATGAAAAGAGCAGTTCATTACCATTCTACATTAACAAAATAAAGGAAATCAACTTTTGAAAAAAAATTTCAAAAAAATAAGAGCAAAGTAACACTAATGTTAATACTTTTTTCCAAAAAATGCCTTAGATTCACGTGTGTCAGAATTATGTCAGAAAAATATGAAATAATTAATAGATTTTGATTGAAAGCAAAAATCCTGACGCATGTTTTCGATTTTGTTCATATAACAACAAACAATGGCGACGTCTTTGTTTCGTAGATGCAGTCTACGTGTACTTTGAAGATGGTAATTACAAAGTTGTTTAAAATAAAATGTATACATATATGCAACGGAAATTATAGTTAATGACTTATCTTGTCAAACAAGAGTTTATTTTAGCAGTTTTTGGTAAATTCAGGACACAAAACGGAACGATGAAAACGGGTGACTATGTATAGCTAATTAGCGAAGACATTGAGTATTGAGTAATATCGCTATTGGCTTCTCTCGTGTTTTCTCGCGCGGCAGGCATTTAGCGATATTGCTTCTCGTAACCAGTCCATCCATGTATTATAAGGTCCATGATAGTGTTAAACAATATTCCTACTGCCATCAAGCACTATTAGTATTTGCCCGTACTAGGTTTGAAGCCTACTTGTACTTGTAGCCTAAACTACTAAACTAGGCCTATGTAGACCTACTGGTACTAATGCCATTTCTGATGATATGGATTTTGATGATATGAATTTTGAAGATATTAATATGATGATGAAACAAAATGAAATGAAGTGTTGAAATGGGGTTTAACATCCTACTTTTCTGCACTAATGAAGAAGGCATAGACTATCAATATCTTATGATGAGGCAAATTTTGGACAGAGTGACACTAATGTAGCCTACATTATAGGGTTCTTTTAGTTCTATGTGCAGGACACATTTTTCTTTCCATCCAAGCAACTAGGCACTGTTCCATGTAAAAGTTCAACCAGAAACATTATAGCCTGTTTCTGTGTTTTAACAAATTCCAATGGCACAGCATATACTGATCTATAAAAGCATTTATAATGCAACTCTAGGCTGGGCCTTTCTATTCAGGCTAATTAGCGAACTGAACAGCAAGTCATATGTATGTGTGCAGCCTATGCAGGGTGTACTTATCCTTTTAAGAACATCTGATAGCACTTCTTGTTCACATTACCTTGTACCGTACGGTAATATATTAATGTTTTTATACGCCCACATTTTCATGTGGAAGTATATTGTCGTCGCCCCTGTCCGTCCGGCCTGGCTGGCCGTCCGTCCACAATTGTTTGTGAACAGTCTACAGGTCACAATTTTTATCCGATTTCAATGAAACTTGAAATATAGGTTTATCACCCTAAGATCTCAGTTCCTTTCGATATTGGCATCTATCGGACCGTAACTTCATGGATTATGGCCCTTTGATTGTACGAAAAATCACGTTTTTGGCTTGTGAACACTGTAGAGGTTACAATTTTTATCCGATTTTGTTGAAACTTGAAATGTAAGTTTATAACCCAAAGATCTCGGTTCCTTTCGATATTCGCGCATATCGGACCGTAACTTATTGAATTATGGCCCCTATAGAGGTCATAATTTTTATCCGATTTAAAAAATCGTATTATTATATCACCGTTACACCCTAAGGATGACTGAGTTCAAATTTCGTGAAAATCGGCCCAAAACTGAAAGACAAAATGGCCGCCCCTCGTTCTCAAATTGTGTAAAAATATGGTATATCAAGGTTATGGACACTATAGAGGTCACAATTTTTATCCGATTTTGTTGAAACTTGAAATGTAAGTTTATAACTCAAAGATCTTGGTTCCTTTCGATATTTGCGCATATCGAATTGTAATTTCCTGAATTATGGCCCTTGATTGTAGGAAAAATCACTTCCGTTTTAGCTTGTTTTCTATCCATCTCTCGAAAATGTGGGCGTATCCTGCCTGGCAGCCGCTGGTTCTTTTGTATTGTCAAAGAATAATCTGAATCGATCTATAGAATTAAAAGTTTCAGTCGATACCTAAACAGTCCTTTGCTTGTTTCGGGTGTTAAGAAACATTATTATCATTTCATTTCATTTTACAGAGGATGTAGGCCTAGGTCAGAGTTCAGAATAGATCACACTTTCTCTGAACAATAACTGATAAATGAGTATATCAATCCAAATGGTTATGCCTGTTGTAGCTATTGAACATTGTGTGCCCGCAGCCGATCAATTTATGTATTTTAGTTTAACGGTTAGAGGGAGGCAACTCTCTTTATTAAAAAGGATGATGTAAGCAAGCGGGAAGCGTGCAAAAGAAAGATGGCGAAGTAAACAGCGGTCTCAAACTATTTGAAACCGTTGTCAACGGTATTAACGTTAAAGTTTTCCTATAGATGCTCAATGCTTATGTCACACGGTTAACGGATATTGAGTGTCGATGGCGAACTGTATAAGCTGCTAGTTTAAGGTCTCAATTCGTCGTGTCTATGTGAAAGGCTAACGGTAAACAAGACATCGGCTATTGAGTATTGGTAATGGCATGGCTGCAGTTTCAAGTTAAAGGGACGGTGACGCGTTTCAATACCGCTATGTACAAGGTTTAAGGTTTACTTATAAATCCTATGGTGGACAGAATAAAGAAATTTTATGGTTTAAATGTATTTACTTTATCGAGTTTACGGCCACCATATTAGTTTCAAATAATAAAAATTATTGACTTCTCGCCATACATACGTATTGTCAAATGGTTGAAATAGAATAGCCGCTCATATAGACTGAATGAACGTTGTAAAACTGTTTCGTTTAATGGTTATTAAGTGACTTTCCATAGATTAAAGTGCATGACACGTCCTATAGTGTTTTGATAGTTTGTCTACAGTCAATTGTCGACAGTTTATCAACATGGATTCACGTAAAGACTTGATAATAGAACTTCGTAATAACAATAATGAAGATACGGTAGCAGAACGGGATAGCGATGATGATAGTACTTTACACACCAGTTCAAATAAATCAAGGCACACGAAGAAAAGTCACAAAAGTTCAAATTCGTCTAGTTCGTCAAGATATTCAAGTTCTATGATCCGAGCAAGGGAAAAGGCCAAAGTTGCAGAACTGCTGACTGAACAGGCGATGTTGTCTAAAACTCAACAAATTCAGAAATTAGAACTTGAAGTGAAAATCGCTAAAGCTCAAGCCAGAGAGAAGGCTTTCCGTGAAATCGTTGATGAAGATAATGTAAACAGATTGTCAAACGAATATATTGTTCTTTCAGAAGTCAACGGATCCTCAAGTAACAGTGATCATTCTAGTACGGTAAAACCAAGTGATCTTCCACATACAGCCATACCGCCATTGATACATGTAAATGATAAACAAACAAGTGCAAGTAATTTAAATCAACCCATCTCGAGTACACCGCTTATTTATCGTCAACCGCGAGAGCAAACCCTGCCTAACTGCACAAAGAATACCACACCGCAAGGTCAACGTCTTAACCCCACAGCCAATGAATTTCAACCGACAAACACTGAATGTTTGGATTCAACACAGTTACAGACAAGGTCAAACGAAAATCAGAATGCTACAAGCTCTAATATTCAACACGATGTGGTTTTGATGCATAGACAATTAATGGCTGCAATGACATTACCTCAACCGGAAGTAAATAAGTTTAAAGGCGACCCGATAGAATACACGCCATTCATTAAAGCCTTCAACGCAAGGATTCGGTCTAAAGTCTCCAACAGTGCCGATTGTCTCTATTATCTTGAACAGCACTTAGAAGGAGAGCCTAGACATTTAATCGACGGATGTTTACATCTAGATCCCGAAGAATGATTTGAAGAAGCGTTACAACTTTTGGATCAAGAATATGGCGACCCATACAAGCTTTCAATATCGTACACAGACAAAGTTCTTAATTGGTCCTTAGTTAAAGAAGATTCGTCAGCATTAAAGAAATTTTCTCTGTTTCTCATCAAGTGTAGAAACGCCATGAGTAGTTTATCTTATATGTTAGTCTTGAATCACCCACCAAATATGCAGTGCATTGTACAGAAACTCCCATACAGTCTTCAAGCAAGATGGAGAGAACGTGTTGTCCGAATGCGAAAGGTTGAAATGAAAACTGCATTATTCACTGACCTGGTAGACTTTATAAAGGATGCTGCAGAAGCTGCAAACGATCCCATATACGGTAAAGACGCTTTGGTGAAACCGAGTTCAACGAACAGTCAAGCTACTAAACCACATTATCAGCATAAAGATTTACACGGACATTGTAGGAAACCGTTTATACCCAAACAGAAAAGCTTTGCTACAAATACGAGTTCAGTATCGTCGAATTCCGGGTGCTCAAACGGGACCGGGTACAAAAATCAGTTATCAGAAGTTGGACTAAGCTGTAAACTTTGTAAGGGCGCTCATGGTTTAGATAATTGCCCAACCTTTGCGAAGAAAACAATGGAAGATAAGAAGACTTTCTTGGTAAACAATAGACTCTGCTTTAGTTGCTTCGGAACAAATCACATGGCTAAGGGATGATTACAAAAGGCCACATGCAGTAAATGTCAAAAGAAACATCCAACAACTTTACATATTGATGGATTCAGTCTTCAAATGGTTGATAATCATCTTGAATCGTCTAAGGCTAGTGAAAATACAGCTAACTTGATATCAGATGTTATTCCTAAAACAGTGTGCAATGTAACCAGATCAGTAAACTCTATTATTTTACAACCCATCCTTCCAGTACGTTTACAGTGGAAAGATAAAATGGTTATTACGCTTGCCTTTTATGATAATGGCAGCAGCGGTTGTTTTCTACTAAAAGACACCCAGACGAAATTAAATGCCAAAGGAGTCTCAACGAAAGTACAACTGGGCACCATGCATGGTCAAGACATGTTAGACTCAGAAATGATAAATAACCTGTTGGTGCTTGACATCGATGGCAATAATGGAATAGAATTACCTAAAACGTACACAGTAGGTGAAATACCCGTCACACTCTCACAGGTTCCTACACCAGAAATCGTTAGTAAATGGGAACACCTTCAAGATATAGCAAAGAAAATCCCTCAACTTATTCAAGGATGCGACATTGGGCTTCTCATCGGTAGTAATTGTCCCGTAGCTCTAGGGCCGTTAGAAGTAAAACCTAGTGAAGGAAATGGACCATTTGCTATGCGCTTGCCTCATGGTTGGACCGTGTGTGGGCCAGTTGCCGTAGAAGAATCTTTGTCAACAAACGAAGTCTCAGTAAATCGCATAACTGTTCGAGAAGTAGAAAGGTTCAAGGAAATATTCTCACCGCAAACAGTTCTTGAAATGTTCGAAAGAGACTTTAACGAGGATCCGATCAATCAAAACTCAGAAGAATATGGTTTGTCTCAAGACGACAGGAAGTTTATAGAAATTGTCAATGATGGTATAAGTAACGTAAACGGCCACTATCAGATCCCACTTCCTTTTCGTAAAGAGCATATTCTCTTCCCAGATAACCGACTTCAAGCTGTTAAACGCTGTGAATGGCAGAAGAAAAAGATGTCAAGCGATTCTCAGTATTATGAACATTATAAACGTTTTATTCAAGACAATATCGATAAGGGTTTTATCGAGAAAGTTCCTGAAAATGCCTCACCGGAACCAGGACATTCGTGGTATCTTCCGCATCATGGGGTCTACCACCCTCGTAAATTAGACAAGATAAGAGTCGTGTTCGATTGTAGCGCGCAGTACCAAGGTATCTCTTTGAATAATCAGCTACTACAGGGCCCAAACCTGACAAACTCATTGATTGGTGTATTAACTCGATTTCGGGACGAACGTATCGCATTCATGGGAGACATCGAATCAATGTTCCATCAGGTAATGGTCCCACCTCACCATCGAGACTTTCTACGACTTCTATGGTGGAAGGACGGCGACATTGATAACGACTTAGAGGAGTTCCGTATGTGTGTACATCTGTTTGGAGCTGCCTCATCCCCCAGCTGCTCAAACTTCGCATTAAAGAAGACTGCGGATGAATCAGAAGAAGAGTTTGGTAAAACTGTCGCAAATGTTATTCGTAATAACTTTTATGTAGACGATTGCCTCAAAAGTGTCAAGACTCCAGAAATCGCTAAAGACTTAATACGAAGGTTACAAGGTGCATGCCTTAAAGGCGGATTTAGGTTGACCAAGTTCATCTGTTCTGATAAAGAGGTTCTTGAATCTATTCCAGAGGACGAAAGGGCTAAGGAAGTTCGGGAGTTGGATTTGAATTTAGAACCTACCAGTAGAACGAGCACTTGGCGTAAAATGGGTTGTTTCATCGGACACTTTTGGTTTCACAATCACCTTAAAGGACAGACCTTTAACTCGCAGAGGTATCTTATCCATGGTATCGTCAATCTATGACCCACTCGGATTTGTTTCCCCGGTAACGTTAACAGCCAAACGAATATTACAGGATTTATGCCGCCTTGATCTTGATTGGGATGACGCTATACCAGTGGAGTATCAACGACAATGGTTAAACTGGAAAGATAATCTTCTGGCTTTAGAGAAGATAGAGATTCAACGATGTGTTAAACCGGTTGAATTTGGACCTATACTATCAAAGCAAGTTCATGTATTTTCGGATGCAAGTTCTACAGCGTATGGAGCGGTTGCTTATCTTCGACTCAAGGATAATAACGATCGAATACACTGTTCATTTTTACTAGGTAAAAGTAGACTCGCACCCATAAAGACAGTTACTATACCGAGACTCGAACTAACGGCCGCTACAGTATCAACACGCATTGGCCAACTGTTGTTAAATGAGTTGACTGATAAACCGGATTCTGTCTTTTATCACACAGACTCAACTACTGTCTTAAGATACATTCATAATGACCAACGACGATTCAAAATCTTTGTTGCGAACAGAGTTCAAACGATTCGTAACTGCTCAGAACCATCCCAATGGCTGTATATCGACACTAAAAGTAATCCAGCTGATGACGCCTCACGTGGTTTAACAAGCTTAACATTCCTACAGTCAAACAGATGGCTTAAAGGTCCCGAATTCTTATGGAAGCCAGAAGAGGAATGGATCAAACAACCAGTGTTACCTGGACTAATTCCCTCATCAGATCCTGAAGTAAAGGATGAAGTTTCTAATTGTGTAACGAACGTAACTTGTTCTGATAATAATCCTGTGAAGTTGTTTATTGAACACTATTCAGATTGGCACAGATTAAAACGTGCTGTTGTTATATTTTTACGGTTTAAATCAATTCTACTGCGTTTGAGTAAGGACAGAAAAGATCATAATCATTTAAATAGATCAGAAGAAGCCTTTATGACTGAACGGAGGAAATCCTCATTCAGATCCTTAAACTTACCCATAACTGTAGAAATGGAGAAAGCAGAAAGTAGTATTTTTAAGTACGTTCACGAACATCAATACGCTGAAGAACTTAAAGTTCTTAGATCAACAGACTTCAATCAGAATAATCGTCGCCAACAGTTTAAGTGCAAAAAGTTGTTAACGAAGAATTTGTCAAATTTATGGAAGCTCGATCCAGTTATCGATAATGGTGTTCTCCGCGTTGGTGGACGGTTAGACAGAGCCGACGTCTCGGAATCCTTAAAGCACCCTGTAATCGTTCCCAGAAAGGGTCACTTAACAGAACTCGTCATTCGCCATGCTCATCAACGACTTGCTCATGCAGGAAGAGGTCATGTTCTAGCATCGCTACGAGAAAAGTATTGGATAATAGGAGCCAACGCCGCAGTACGCCAGGTGATAACTAAATGTGTTCCCTGTCGACGCAACCGAGCTAAACCAAACATACAGAAAATGGCGGATTTGCCAGCCGAAAGAGTCAACCCCTCACCACCGTTTACCTACGTGGGATTAGATTATTTCGGACCGTTCTATATTAAGGATGGACGACGTGAACTTAAACGTTACGGAGCTATTTTCACTTGTCTAGCTAGCAGAAGTATTCACATCGAAGTTTCGAACTCTTTGGAAACGGATTCATTCATACAAGCTCTTCAACGTTTCATAGCCTGAAGAGGACCCGTTAGACAGATACGAAGTGATAATGGATCCAACTTCATTGGTGCCGAAAAGGAGCTTCGTCAGGCATTAGATGAAATGGACAAGGATAAAGTTAGAAATAAATTACTGCATTTCAACGTTGATTGGATATTCAACCCCCCAACCGCAAGCCACATGGGAGGAATTTGGGAGCGCCAAATTCGCTCAATTAGAAAGGTCTTCAATTTTCTCCTCAAGGAACATGGAAGATGTCTAGATGATGAATCGTTTAGAACTTTAATGTGCGAGGTCGAACAAATCTTAAACTCTAGACCTCTTACATTTTTTTCTTCTGATAAAGACGATTTAGATCCCTTAACGCCCAATCACATCTTAACTACTAAGACTCAAGTTGTTTTATCACCGCCTGGATGTTTTCAACGTGAAGATCTATATCTACGTCGCAGGTGGCGCAGAGTCCAGTATCTCGCCAATCTGTTTTGGACCCGATGGAAGAAGGAGTATATGATATGTTTACAGGAACGCAATAAATGGTGTCATCCTCAACGTAATGTCCAGATTGATGATATTGTTCTTGTGTGTGATGACAGTCTCCCTAGAAACGAATGGATAATGGGAAGAATCGTTTCAACAGAAACTGATAATAAAGGACTAGTTAGAGCTGCTAAAATTAGAACGTCAACCACTCAACTACGCCGACCTATTGCTAAATTGGTTCTACTACTTGAGAAGGAAGATGGTGATTAACGTGTTAAAGTGACTTTTAAGTGATTTAATGTTTAATAGTATTTAAATGACTTTAATGGTATTACGGTTTAACGTGGACAATTTTTAATGTGTTTAAACGGCTGCAGTTATTAAGACTGAATATTAGTTTGTAAATTGATTTCCTAATTTAGGGACCGGGTATGTGCCCGCAGCCGATCAATTTATGTATTTTAGTTTAACGGTTAGAGGGAGGCAACTCTCTTTATTAAAAAGGATGATGTAAGCAAGCGGGAAGCGTGCAAAAGAAAGATGGCGAAGTAAACAGCGGTCTCAAACTATTTGAAACCGTTGTCAACGGTATTAACGTTAAAGTTTTCCTATAGATGCTCAATGCTTATGTCACACGGTTAACGGATATTGAGTGTCGATGGCGAACTGTATAAGCTGCTAGTTTAAGGTCTCAATTCGTCGTGTCTATGTGAAAGGCTAACGGTAAACAAGACATCGGCTATTGAGTATTGGTAATGGCATGGCTGCAGTTTCAAGTTAAAGGGACGGTGACGCGTTTCAATACCGCTATGTACAAGGTTTAAGGTTTACTTATAAATCCTATGGTGGACAGAATAAAGAAATTTTATGGTTTAAATGTATTTACTTTATCGAGTTTACGGCCACCATACATTGTACTGTATCCCTGACCTCCCCTGCGCGCGCTGTATCAAGTCTGTCATTGAGTCGAGTCAGTCGACAGGCGTGGTTTCGAATCCCCGGTTGTACGTGACAAGGAGTAGGGTTGCCTGTCCAACCTCGTGGGTTTTCTCCGGGTCCTCCGCAAGCGAATTATTGAAATAAAATTAAACCATTTGTTAGTCCCGAAATGAACTAGTTTGTGTCGAGTGGACGTTAAACCCCATTTCTCTCTCCCCTGACCTCCCGAATAGGATGTAAATAAACCAATGCCAGTGGATGGTGAATCAGAATTCATGAATGGACAGATAGACTACTTTTTTATACGCCCACATTAAAATGTGGTCGTATATTGTTGTCGCCCCCGTCCGTCCGTCCGGCGTCCACAATTGCTTGTGGACGCTCTAGAGGCTAAAGTTAATATCCGATTGACTTTAAATTTCTATACAGTGTTTAAGGCCATGAAACGAAGAAGCCTATTGATTTTCAGCGATTTCCGATAATTACTGCCAGAGTTATGGCCTTTGATCACTTCAAAAAATCTTGTGGACGCTCTAGAGGCTAAAGTTAATATCCGATTGACCTTAAATTTATACACAGTGTTTAAGGTCATGAAGCGAAGAAGCCTATTGATTTTCAGCGATTTACGATAAGTACTGCCAGAGTTATGTCCCTTGATCACTTTGAAAAATCTTTTGGACACTCTAAAGGCTAAAGTTCATATCCGATTGACTCTAAAATTTATACACAGTGTTTAGGGTCATGAGATGAAGTCTATTCATTTTCAGTGATTTTCGATATTTACAGCTAGAGTTATGGCCCTTGATCACTTTGAAAAATCTTGTGGACGCTCTAGAGGCCAAAGTCAATATCCGGTTGACTTTAAATTTATACACAGTGTTTAAGGTCATGAGACAAAGAAGTCTATTCATTTTAAGTGATTTTCGATAATTACTGTCACAGTTATGGCCCTTGATCACTTTGAAAAATCTTGTGACGCTCTAGAGGCTAAAGTTAGCATCCGATTAACTTTAGATTGATACACAGAGTTTAAGAGCTTGAGACGAACAAGTATATTGATTTTCAATGAATTTTTATGACTTGAACAGCTAAATCCATGATATTAAAAACCAAACAAATTCTAATGGTTTTCTGATAATTACTTCATGAGTGTATTATAAATGTTTCATTACCGAAAGAAGTAAAAATATGCACAACACTTGTTGACTGCCCGGACGATTTAGCTGCTATGGGCGTATGTTTCGTTGCCTAGCAACCTATCTTTTTATACGCCAAAACTGAAATGTGGGCATATTATTGTCAGGCCGTCTCTACATCCACAAGTCTATTAAAGTTAATATCCGATTGATAAACAGTTTTTAAGGTCATGAGACAAAGAAGCCTATAAATTTTCAGCGAAAGTTATGGTCCTTATTATCGTATTGACATTGAATTTATAGTGTTTAAGGTCATGATACATAATATAGGACATTAAACCCCATTTCATTTCATTGCAGGTCATGAGACGAAGAAGTCTTAATTTTCAACGATTTCTGATAATTACTGCCAGAGTTACGGTCCTTGATCACATAATCCAAAATGAAATGAAATGGGGTTTAACGTTCTATTGTTTTTCTCCTATACTGGGCTAATGTACAAGGGCATAGGCCATACAGTGTGCGTTGAGGGAAATTTTGCCCGGGCAGCGGCACTATGGCCTACTTTTATATCGAATTCCAACTGCCAAGGAATCTTTTACGTCCTGCACCACTGACAAGATGAAACCACATCGGAATAAAGCCCATAATCAACCATGTGATTATGAACAGATTGAAACGGAATTGCCATTTAATAATCTAATTTAAAAATGGATGTACAAGACTTTGTGTATATCGTAACAAACAGTAGCAATGAAAAAAGAGACTACGCTGAATGCAGTAATTTTACTGAAATTTTCAAATTATTCCTTGTTCAAAATCTTACTTAAGGAATCTTTAATTGTTTTTTTTCTTCAATAAGCTTACAGATTACAGTTTTTTTTGTGTTTACAACATTACTATAATTCTTTCATCCTACATCAGAACTACAGATATTTCTTGTGTTTCTTAAAATCGTGTAGTTCTTTACTAATAGTACATGTAATGTATGCTTGACAGGTCAGATTTTATTCTGTTCCCATCTGCTGTAAGATGGCACCAGTAATGGTTACTCAACCCAAAATTTAGTTACATGTCTGGTCCATAACACTATCATTGGGCATGATGGATTCTTCATATCGTAATACTCCTGTAATGTATTTATTTTAGATTTTGTCAAAAGATGAGGTAAAAAAAATTATCAATGGAGGAAAGCAATGCTTCAGGTTCGCACCTTCATCAGTCTCAATATGGAAAATTCTGTATGTTGCAAAGAATTAATCACTTAAACATACGTTATTCAAGAGCTCAATCTGCCTATTGCAGGTTTTTCTTTAGACCTGAAATGTTATATTATATAAACTATTAATTAGACATTTATTTACATGACAAGCATAAAATCAACTCTTGATACCATCGGATATCTCTGATATTAACTAGATTAGAACGGTTCAGCCATATTTTGATTTAATTTAGAAATGAAGGAGCGAGACTTAGCTTTGAACAACCAGTACGGTGGTTGCAATTATTGTACATGTCTTGTCAAACCTTCAAAGACTAATATCTTTGCTTGCAATAGAGTAATTTGAACGAAATTTTCAATATATTCATTTTGCATTATCTATTTTCAAACTATTATAATAAGAACGGCCTGCTTTTTATCTAAATCTTGCATAATGTATCTTTAATCTTTTCAATACACATGGCCCCAGTCATTGGGTCATCACACAGGTCACAGCCTAGGTAACAATTTTCTGTGGGATCCAGTAACTGGGCCTATTCCAAGCCATGAATTAACTAGAATGCTTACAACCCAATTCAATTAAACACAGTAGGACCAAAAGTGAATAGGCCTAGCTGTAGTAGAATGACGATCACAAAGCTAGTCACCACAGTGACCAGTAAGGAATGGATTAAATGGGTATCAGTATCACTGAGCAATTCACTGAGCAAAATAATACTTTTAAAATTATGTGTCTTAAAGATACATTATGGGAGATTTTAATAGAGAGTTGGCCATTCTTGCTATAAAAGTTCAAAAATAGATGATGAAAGAGGACTATATTGAAAATTTCAGTCAAATTACTTTATTCTGAACAAAGTTATCACCATTGTAATTTTTGACTAGAAATAGGCGTCAACTCTCTCTTTGCCGTCTCCGAGAATGGCCGATCGTTTGATTGACAGGCGTTAACTCCACCTACATAATCTTGATTATCAAGTAACGTTTTCAATGACTGTGGTACCGTTAGCCTATTCGGTTTGAGATAGGGTTGGAATTCAATTCGTATCACATTTATTTTTACTACAAATTAAAAATAAGACTTTTAATATATAAAAAAGAAGCGAAAGTTTGAAAAGAATGTACCAAAACAATGAGGATAATTATAGCTGTATATATCGAAATTTCAATCACATTGACTGACATGCGGCATCGCTCAACAGCGGCCTAGCTTCGTACACTCTATCATTTAGCCTCGATCTTAAATTTCCGGGAGTATGACGTCTACTTAATGGTTAATCTCCGCTTACAATGGCATTTAAAAATTTAATCAATCAATGAAATCCCCTCTAAATCCAAGCCAAATCCAAGCCATCCGTGGGTCTACAGAGTTGATTTTGTGCTTGTTGTGTAAATAAAGATCTAATTTATAATTTCTATGACATCTGAAGTCTAAATAAAGACTTGTAATAATCAGATTAAGCTCGTGCATAATGTATGTTAAAATATTTTTTAAGTTCTTTGAAATCCTATCGTCCTGTTTAGTTGAAATCCTGTCATCCTGCTTTGAAATGCTAAATGATCACTTAATACCCTCAGTTCTCATATATTTGGTACCTTATCTTTTATCTTAAGTGCTAGTCCACGAGAAAACCATGCAGAAATCGGGAAGGTGAGGGGTCGGCCGATTCCATTCATATTCACAGGGTTTGGTCATGCCCATGAGACTACTCGATAGCCAAAACCGCCGATTTCAGAAATTGACCATAGCTGAGATACGGCAAACAGGTGTTTTTGAGGGCTTTTTGCTCATTTTTTCGTTAATTTTAGGCATTGTTAGCTGCTGTTTTTCAGGTTGTAAATGAGTACTTATGAAACAAATGATGATTCGATATATTAGGCTAGGTAGTAATGTTTCAAAAAAGGGAAAAAAGAAAAATCTATCTTTCCACTGAAGGGTGCCATTTGGTTATTCCTGAAGGGTATAAATCGAACCCTATAAAGTGCCCAACTTTATGCCCTCGATATCTCCACTGCCGCGGGGTCCCATGAATTCTTTTTGTGGTTGTTAGTAAATGGGTACAAGGTCTCTCGATTAAAAAAATAAAATTTCATATATCTTCATACGCATGCGCGATAACATTGTCTAAGTTTTGACAATTTTGATATTGGATCATCTGATATTGATATGTTCTAATCAATATAGTGACAAAATATGGATGATAGTAACACCGTTCTACTGATATTTACTATTTGTCAATGATTATAACATCGTCCTGATGATATTTACTATTTTTCAATGACACCGTCCTGCTCATATTTACTATTTTTTAATGATAGTAACATCGTCCCGCTGATATTTACTATTTTTCAATGATAGTAACATCGTCCCACTGATATTTACTATTTTTCAATGATAGTAACACCGTTCTACTGATATTTACTATTTGTCAATGATTATAACACCGTCCTGATGATATTTACTATTTTTCAATGATAGTAACATCGTCCCGCTGATATTCACTATTTGTCAATGATAGTAACACCGTTCTGCTGATAGTTACTATTTGTCAATGATTATAACACTGTCCTGCTCATATTTACTATTTGTCAATGATAGTAACATCGTCCCGCTGATATTTACTATTTGTCAATGATAGTAACACCGTTCTACTGATATTTACTATTTTTCAATGATAGTAACACCATCCTGATGATATTTACTATTTTTCAATGATAGTAACAACATCCTGATGATATTAACTATTTGTCAATGATAGTAACACCGTTCTACTGATATTTACTATTTGTCAATGATTATAACACCGCCCTGATGATATTTACTATTTTTCAATTATAGTAACATCGTCCCGCTGATATTTACTACATATTTGTCAATGATAGTAACACCGTTCTACTGATATTTACTATTTGTCAATGATTATAACACCGTCCTGATGATATTTACTATTTTTCAATGACACCGTCCTGCTCATATTTACTATTTTTCAATGATAATAACATCATCCCGCTGATATTTACTATTTTTCAATGATAGTAACATCGTTCCGCTGATATTTACTATTTGTCAATGATTATAACACCGTTCTGCTGATATTTACTATTTGTCAATGATTATAACACTGTCCTGATGATATTTACTATATGTCAATGATTTTAACACCGTTCTGCTGATATTTACTATTTATCAATGATTATAAGACCTTTGTGATGATATTTACTATTTGTCAATGATAGTAACACCGTCCTGCTGATAGATCCTGATATATATTGAGGAGATTAGATTCATGAGGTACTTCCACTATTTTATCCTTCTGATATTTTGTAAAAATTTATGAATGTAAATTTTGTATGATATTTTGCGAGGGTTCATGAATGTAAATTTTGTATCTGTATTTGATATTTTGTAAGGAAAGGATTCATTGAATGTCTCTGATATATTGTGAAAAATTATGAATGTAGTTTTTGTATTACATTTGATATTTTGTAAGGGTTCATTAATGTAATTAGATGTGATATTTTGTAAGGATTAGTATTCCCTCCCGACAGTAAATTTTGTATATATTTGATATTTTGTGAGGATTAAGGATTGACTCACGAGGTCAATAACGGGCATTGTCCAATATAGTAAACATATATCTTAAAGTCCCCAATTAACACTATAGCTATCTGAACTTTTCTCTGTAAAGATAACGTAATCGGCAATGATCCCGGTCAACTGTCACTCTTGTTTCTTTCCTGGTTTGAAATTGGGTCAATCTCATTGTCCTCTGCGAGGAAATCCTCATTGCGCATGCGCTGTATTTATCGGAAGTTTACGAGACAGCCGACAGCATGGCTAGCAGACAAATCAAACCTATATCGTCTTTACTAGTAAAGTAACTTCGTCTCGCAGTGAGTCTAATTGGGGAAAAATGATGATAGTCATGCTACTGACGCTACACAACCCAAACAAGCAAAATTACAAGCTTTGCCGTCTTCGTCTCGCAGTGAGTCCCAGTCGGAAAAAGATGTTTAAAACATCATATATTATTATAGGACGACAAGTTGAAGTGTTATGTATGTTCACGATATAATTTAGCTATAACATACGACAAATTATTCTAATCTTCAGACTTGGCAACTGAAAATTTTGTTTGGCTAGTGGTTTTGAAAATTTACTTATGTTTGCACAAGTAAGTTCAAAATGCTGTGTAGAGCCTTGCTTGTAGGTAGGGTATAGTCTAAATATTGATAATTAACTCGTTGGTCGCAGGTAGAGGTTAAGATAACATCGGTCCTGAAAATTGAAAGAAAAGAAAAAATCTTGCCGTTTTAGTCCTGCTGACCTGGAACTTTTTAGAGTGTAGAATTTATTTTCCAATCTTGAGGATTTAGGCCTACATTTTACTATTCAATGACTACTGTGAGCTATGACAGTTCTTTCAACTGCAACTTATAATGAGATCTGTACATATCAAGAGATTTAAGAGTGAAATAATGCGAATTTTAGCAAATTTTCACTTCCAGTTGCAGTAAGAGTTGTCATACGAACATTATGTTGCGAAAACATAGCAGCTGTGAAGGCGTCCGTATTATACTACATTTGTTTGAATATCAGTTTGATAATATTGGGGATAAAGCTTCGTAAAATTGTCGAATTTATCTGATTTTTGTCAAAATTACCCACTATTTTTGAGAATGTAGTTATAGACATATATGAAATTTTATTTTTTTAATCGAGAGACCTGATACCCAGTTACTAACAACCACAAAAAGAATTCATGGGACCCCGCGGCAGTGGAGATATCGCGGCATAAAGTTAGGGTACTTTATAAGGTTTGATTTATACACTTCAGGAATAACCAAATGGCACCCCTCAGTGGAAAGATAGATTTTTCTTTCTTCATTTTTTTTTAAACATTACTACCTAGCCTAATATATCGAATCATCATTTGTTTCATAAGTACTCATTTGCAACCTGAAAAACAGCAGCTAACATTGCCTAAAATTGACGAAAAAATGAGAAAAAAGCCCCCAAAACACCTGCCTGCCGTATCTCGGCTAGAGTCAATTTCTGAGATCGGCGGTTTTGGCTGTCGAGTAGTCTCATGGGCATGACCAAACCCTATGAATATGAATGGAATCGGCCGACCCCTCACCTTCCCGATTTTGCACGATTTTGCATGGTTTTCTCGTGGACAAGCACTTAATACACACCTTGGCTTGGTTATTACTATCTTACTTACTTTTTCTTCAAAAATACTATTTGTTTTTTACAGGAGTAAAGGCTGGAAGGCAACTGAAGAAAATCAGTATTAACTAAAGATCACTAAACTTACCTAACAACACAACAAATACCAGAAGGGAAATCTTCAGCAAAAAACAGATACATTTGAATACAGTGTAACATCTAATTCTCTTCACCCGTTAATAAATTATTACTATGATACGCTCTGAGAAGAAGTCGAGCTACTTCAACTGGACAAATTAACTGATTACTAGAAATCTGAAGGAGCTGCTCATGCCTTAACACTGTCTCACAGTTTACAAACAGAACAGGTTTGTTTGATGCCAAAAGTGATATTATGCAAATATATAAAACATGTTTGGAAAATTGTTCTTGCGGATGATTTCACAGAAAGCACTTTGTTTGACTATTATGAAGATGATGATGACGGAGATAATGATAAAGATATAGAATGTGTGTTGACTAATAGTTCATTTACCGAGTGTATTGATAAATAGTCTGTTTATCAACATATGGAGTGTATTGTTTATCAACATATTGAGTGTACTGTTTATCAACATATTGAGTGTATTGATAAAGAATTGGGTGAAAAAACATATTTAGTGTACTGAAAAATAATTTTTTATCAACTTATCAATTGTATTGATAACTTTTGTTGATCACCATATTGACTGCATTAGATAAAGTGTTATAAACTTGTTGAGTGCATTGATACATATAGAGAATCTCCTATCAGTATTTTTTGATATCAAAAAATATCAACACAAGTTGATAAAGTAACAAAAAAACAAGGCTCTGCCGAGTTTTTTTTACTTTATCAACGAATGTTGATATTTTTTGATATAAAAAAAGACGAGTAGGTGATTTTATTTATCACCCAATCCCGTCTTTTAAAATTATGTGTCTTAAAGATACATTATGGGAGAGTTGGCCATTCTTGCTATAAAAGTTCAAAAATAGATGATGAAAGAGGAATATATTGAAAATTTCAGTCAAATTACTTTATTCTGAACAAAGTTATCACCATTGTCATTTTTGACTAGAAATAGGCGTCAACTCTCTCTTCGTCGTCTCCGAGAATGGCCGATCGTTTGGTTGACAGGTGTTAACTCCACCTACAAAAGTTAATAAGGTAACAAAAAACAAGGTAGATTTCACTTTTACTGAACATTACGGCGTAGTGATACATCATTTTTGACAGCAATTCAACCATTGCAAAGTCTTTTATATTGACCCAGTGTTTCCATCAAGGTCAATTGAATAACAATAGTTCATTTTTAATTAAAAAAAAAAGTTACGTTTAATAAGAAATGAACTGTTCTTTGAAAATAAAAAAAGTAGTTCCTTTTCAACTGACCAATCAAATTCATGTAAAGCGATATCTCCTTAGGAGATAGCGCAGTAGATTATGAAATATATCACACAAGCGATATCTACTGTAGAATGTATTATTGGATGATAAAATTTATTAAGTGTTCAGAAATGTTTGTTTATCAGCTTATAGACTGTATTGATATAGTATTACAAACTTTTATAAATATTACTGTAAATAATTTTATGTTTATTTTCTTAACTATAGTGTGAATAATATGTTCATTTTATCAACTATAGTGTATCAAGTGTATTGATAAATTTTGTTGATAACAATATTGACTTATTGAGTGCATTGATACATAGTTTATTCAGTGTTATGAAGTGTTTATCAGCTTATTGACTGTATGTATAATTTTTTCATTTAATCAACTATAGTGTACTAATTGCTAATTAGTTAAAATAACTTATTGTTCATATGAACTATAGTGTGAATAATTTATTTCTCATTTTATTAATCATACTGTGAATAATGATTTGCTCATTTTATCAACTATAGTGAAAATAATTTATTTTCCTCATTTTAACAACTGTAGTGAAATTATTATATTGTTTATTTTATCAACTATAGTGTGAATGATTTATTGGCGATTTTATAAACTATAGTGAAAATAATTTATTGGCCATTTTGTTAACTATATTGTAGATAGTTTATTGTCATTTTATCAATTATGGTGTGAATAATTTGTTCATTTTATCAGCTATAATTTATTGATTGATTAATAAAAAGATGTCGATATTATATTTCTTGTTGTAATTCTTCATAAATTGAGAAAACTTGCTATTTTGAAGGAAAATAGATATGAAAAATTCACATAAATAGCAGACAATTAATATTCAATGGCAATTTGATAAATGTCAGCACGATTTCAAAATCAGAGAGGCACTTTAATTAAATCATTCTAGAAAACGATTTACTAAATGGATCAAAGCATGACACATGACACATTGGTCAGAATAACACTGGCCACCTCAACGCCATATTCTTGTCCTGCCATCCGCAGTTGATAGCAATACCGACTCTTATCTGTGAAAAAAAAAACGTTCCCCACTGTCTGTCTCACCAGTTCTGGTGTTGTTGGGCAAACTGTAGACGTTCACGTCGATGGCGTGGGGTGGGGATCGGTCCACGGTAAGGTCTACGGCAATGGATGTTCTCTCTGGTAAGACGTCGGCGCACTGCATCGGCACTAATGGCTCTTCCGTGTGTTCCCACTGTCTGACGTGCTGTCTCAGATGCCTGTGTGAAGGGATTCTGCAATTGCTGTCGCAGAACATAGCAGTCTTTAGGCCTTGTGGTAACCCGTGGTCTACCAGTTTGGGGGGCGGTCATCCGTGGTGTTGGTGGCTCGAAAGCGTTGCTGAAGCCTGTAGATGGTCCGAACATTGACCTGGAAGTGATTGGCAACGGCTTGGGCAGTGTGGCGAGCGTCGAGTATTCCAAGCACCTGGTTCCTCTGAGCTGTCGTGAGTCGTGGCATGCTGCTGACGTTGTAGTGTGAATGATTCAACCAGGTATGAGGTGCATTTTGTAGGACTGGTCCCGGTGAACAGCACGTGCAGCATGAGTTACTTGAAAATCATGGAGAACACATTACCATCCCAGAAGTCAGGTTGCGTTTTTGAGAATATTTCCTGGGTTCAATTCCGTATTTGAGAAGGAGCCTTATTGCTCAGGTAAGGTTGGAGATGTGGTCACAAATATACAATAAAAACATTTGACATGTTTTATGCAATGCGTCTATTCAGATTAACATACCAACCCGACGTTTCGTTTGCTGCTTAGTATATGTCATGTACAGATTGATCGATATGGAAAATTTACACAAATTAAAATAATTGTAACAGACATTAATATTTAATGGAAAAGCCATTGTTAAACCATTATTAAAGAAATCGAACATGGATCCAGATATTCTGTCGAGTTACCGTCCAGTCAGTAATCTATCTTACATTTCAAAACTGCTAGAAAAGTGTGTTCTAAATCAATTAAATGATCATATTTATTCCAATAACCTTCAAAATCCATTACAATCTGCCTACAAACAATACCACAGCACAGAAACTGCTTTACTCAAAATCACCAACGATATCTACCGAACTTTAGATCAACAGAAATGTGTTATCTTGGTACTCTTAAATCTTATATACCTGTAGATCGCTCAGCCGCATTTGATATGCTCGATACCGAAGATTTCCTTGATGCATTATGGTGTGAAATTAGCTTGCGTGGTTCTGTCTTTAACTGGGTTAAGTCATATCTAACCAATCGCACCCAAGCTGTCAGAATTAGAGATTCAACATCCGATGATAATATAATGCCTTGTGAGGTACCGCAAGGTTCTGTACTCGGACCTGTACTTTTTATCATCTTCACAAAGTCTACCATTAAGATTGCTGAAGGCTATGGGCTAAATATTCATGTGTTTGCGCACGACTCCCAACTTTATATTGAATTTGAGACAGACTCTCAACATTCCACGATACAAAATATAGAACTTTGTCCCACGGAAATTCTTGCGTTGATGACAGAACATTTTTTGAAATTAAATCCAAATAAAACAGAAAATGTAGTCGTTGGAACTAACTAACAACTCTAAAAAATTGATCAAACGCTAGTTAATTTTGATAAAGAAGTGATCTCAGGATCCTATAACTCTCCAAATATTGGTGCTGTATTAGACTCGAACCTATCGTTTAACGATCACATACAAAGTATTTGCTCCACCACCTTCTATCATATACATCGAATTTGAAAGATCCAACGCTATCCCAATTATGAAAATAAAGGAGAACTCATTCACGTATACATCTCAACTAAACTAGGTTACCAAAATGGTTTACTATACGGCTTACCAGACTATCAGATTAACAAACTACGTCATGTTCAAAATTCAGCAGCTCGGTGCCTCACTAAAAGTAGAAATAGCAACACATCTCCACGGTATTGCAATCTCTACATTGGTTCCCAATTCAGCAAAGAATTAAGTTCAAGTTACTCCTCTTTATCTGCAAAGCGTTAAACGGCCAAGCTCCATCTCATATAAAAAGTCTTGTAGAACCCTATACTACCAGCAGAAATCTTCGTTCTCAGAAAAAACATATTCTAAAATCTCCAGCTATTAACTTACAATTTATACTGGCCCTTTTCTTTGGAATGACTACCACAGTCAATGAAACAATTACCGTCTGTGGGCCATTTTAAATCTCAACTCAAAACATTCTTGTTTCAAAACCCTGATCTGTAAATAATCAGTGCCAACAGCGCCTTAGAAATTGTTTTTGTTCTGTATTAACGCGCTTTACAAATAACCATATCATTATTATTATTATCAGGATTACTATTAAAATAGTAATTCAAGTACAGATGGATCGGTATGGAAAATTCACACAAATTAAAGTAATTGTGGCAGGCAAGTAATATTCAATCGCCACACGCCCTATGTGTAGTACATACATTTGCGCCCATGATTTGGGTTTTTTGGGGAATAACAGATCGATCGGTATGGAAAACTTATACCAAACAAGATAACTGTAGCAGCCAGTTAATATATTATGGCAATTATATTATCCCCACACACCTTATGCGTTTAACATGGCAATTTTGTAATCGGCACACACCCTAAATGCACGTATTACATGCATTTGTGCACGGTATTTTAGGGTTACGACGGCCGACTTTCGAATTGTGTAAGTATAGATATACCATTTTGTGAAATACACACACATTCACGCCAAAGAACATGATAAATCCGTCATATAATTATGCATTTATACGTTTGTGGGTGTGGAGACGTAATCCTCCCAACGAGCCACGGTGTAAGACGCTGGTTCATTTATCAGGGTATCCGGTCTAGGTGCTGGCCGAGGAAGTTCCTCGGGATTTCCAATCGTGGTTTCCACTTGTCAGTGATGCAGAACAGTGTCTAGTCGTACACGTTGGTAATCAAGTAAAAGAACCCTTGACTGACAGTTGAGTAGTTGAATAAGAGTAGGCCGTGTGATTTCACATTATAAAGAAACACCGCTTTGAAAATGTAGATCGCATTACCACAAAGTAACTATTTTAGTGGTCCAGTCTTCACTATTGTGATAGAATTACTTATTTCAATACAAACTGTAACGATATGTGTTGACAATTGTGCGTTTGAACCTATTTGAAATTGCGTTAGGAGTCTGAGACTATCAATTGTAGAGTTAAACTGTGTGTTTAACGATACATTTAATTGTAGCTAATGGTTGGGTAGTGAAACTTGGGAATGGTCGAACCATGCGACTTTATCTACACCCCACCCAATTGCCCCATGCTGATTGCAAACTTGTCTCAAGTTTATCAAAAGATAGGTTGCCTGGCAACTAAACATGCGCCCACAGCACCTTTGTCTTCGGAGAAGTCCGTATGGGTCATATTTGTTGTTTTGCAGGTGGAAACATCAAAATGACACAAAAGCTGATCAAAAGAAACAACCTATTAATAAGTAATAAAGTAATTAGCCTGTAGAGAGTCCACAATATTTTTCAATGTCAGTGAGGGCTATAACTCTGCCAGTAATTATTGGTAGTCACTGAAAATCAATGGTTTTTTTTCGTCTGATGACCATAACACTTACATCTTGTATAAGAGAGAGAGAGAAATGGGGTTTAACGTCCACTCGACACAAACTAGGTAATTTCGGGACTAACATGGTTTAATTTTATTTCAATAATTCGCTTGTGCGTAGGGGTCTTTAGCAGTGGGGGGAAATCGGAGGACCCGGAGAAAACCCACGGGGTTGGACAGGCGACCCTACTCCTTGTCACGTACGACCGGGGATTCGAAACCACGCCAGTTGACTCAATGACAGGCTTTCTGAAACAGCGCGCACATGCTAACCATTCGGCTATCCAACCCCCCTCTTGTATAAGTCAATTGGATTATAACTTTAGCCTTTAGAGCGTCTTTATGACCTCAAGAGGGTCCACAAGCTAAAAATGTGATTTTTTGTACAATCAGGGGCCATAATTCAGAAAGCTATGGTTCGATATACGTGAATATCTACTGGAACAGAGATCCTTTGGATATAAACATATTATTTAAGTTTCATCAAAATAGGATAAAAACTGTGACCTCTTTAAAACATTACATACTTTTCCACTATTATCGCACAAGGAGCGGCCATTTTCACGAAATTCGAATTCAACCATCATTAGGGTCTAACCATGATATATTTGAATAGTTTCGAAAGAAACCGAGATGTTTGGGTTGTAAACATCTTTTTAAGATTCATCAAAATCGGATAAGACTTGTGACCTCTGGAGTGTCCACAAGCTAAAAACGTGATTTTTTGTACAATCAGGGGCCATAATCCATAAAGTTACAGTCTGATACATGTCAATATCGAAAGAAACAGACCTCTTTGGACGATAAACCTATATTAAAATTGTGACCTGTAGCATGTCCACCCCAAAACAAATTGTGGACGGACAGACGGACAGGGACGACAACAATATACGTCCATATCAAAATGTGGGCGTAAAAAACTGATTTAATTATTTCACAAAGTTTAATGAATAATGATTACGTTACATATGCATGAATTAAAACCAAATCACAGTCTAGATATTTCAAAATTAATAAACAATTATCACAATTTTCCAT